TTTATGAACTTCAAGTTCATATTATCCTATTCGAGGATCTATATGTATAAATAATAATTCATTTCATGTAACTTTTTTCTCAACTGTTGTATCTTGTCTTCCCCTCATGTTAGAAAAACTAACTTGANAGTTCTATTTGAAACCGATTTGTCTATACGCTTTAAGCGTACCACAGGCTTTGTCCTTCTAGGACTTAATATGAGCATTTGCAATGAGAATATAATTACTTTCTTTGGGTCAGCAAATGCGTATGGAATGCTTTGCAATATATTGCAAATGAATTATCCTTTTATGAACTTCAAGTTCATATTATCCTATTCGAGGATCTATATGTATAAATAATAATTCATTTCATGTAACTTTTTTCTCAACTGTTGTATCTTGTCTTCCCCTCATGTTAGAAAAACTAACTTGATTCCTCAACTTTGAAAATCCATCTTTGTGCATTATGGTGTTAATGAAAATATACACCGCACATCAATAATAATAAGATGAAATTATCTGGTTCCTGACCTTGATCCACTTGTGAGGANATCCACTTGTGAGGGGAGAATGCAATATACTTTCGTATATAACATATATCAAATTGATATATATAACTTTGTTCTCATAAGAAATAGTTTAGCTATTAAGTGGAGGCACTCAATAAATTATTTTGCTAAACCAACTGTGATGTAAACCAACTTATCAAGATGAACTTCTTGAATAGAAAATCTGAAAATTATGCTCGAAATTAAATTACTGAGCAAGTTACCTCGCAAGCACCGGCCAGGTTGCGGGTTAATAATAATCGCACATGTAACCATCTCATAAATGCATCTTATGTGGTATACATGGCAGGTGAATGAGCCCATATTCACCTTTGATATTTCTAGAATTCATGGGATTCAATCCCAACTTTAGTTGGTCAATTAATTAATGAGAACAAGCAATATAAGAGAATTCGTAAAGAACTTTCTAGTTCTTTAATATTTACCCATGTGAATTCTCTATTATTTTTGCACATCATACTTAAATTGATATGGCTAAACTGATTATGCCAACTGAATAAATTATCAATATTGATAAGTTCAGGTTTACACCATGACATGTGCAATTATCAATAAACTCCAAGTTTATTATGATATGGGTTTTTATATCAATAAATATCCACTTTAGTGTGGTGTTCTTTTATTTGTGTAGTACAAACTGGAGAATAAAGCGGGTAGCTTTTCACATATATATTATCCCGCTACAAGTTGTAGTAATAGAAGATATTAAATTTTTCCTTTATTTATAGTCTCAATATAATCAACCGCTTTCGCGTGTACTTTGGAAACTGAATTAGTTTCTTTGAGACTTACTACAACACAATAAATTGACATGATAATCAATTGTATTCCTCCAAAATAGTAATAATTGACTCTTCCAGAGCTCTCAATTAATTTTGTACTACCACAAATTCATCAACATCCATGTGATGAATATCTCTTTTAAAGAAAAAGTTATACCATTATGGTCATGGTCAAATTATATGCAAGATCTGTTTCTTGCATTACCATTGTCTTTTAATAATCACATTGCCATAATATTTTGGCGTACAATAAGTACGTGACCGGTGATCATTCATGCCATAATAATGACATTATTTTCTTATTTCATCTCAAACCTCCATCTAGAGGTGAGTGTGGTATATTCACTACCACTAGCACATTCATATTCTCCCAAGAATGAATATGTATTCATAAATTAGATGTTGTCACATTCACATCATTAATGGACCATAATCATCTATATGTGCTTTATAAAATCTCATGTCAAATCGATGACAAATATTACTTTCACAGAGTGAAGGATTATTTTGAGAATCTTTATTATTCTCAATATCACAATAATGACGATTAAAATTTCGTCTATTATCACGTCCACATCCATTGATACATTCATAGTAGTAATTTTGTCTTCTTTCAGACTTATCACATACTGCTATCACATTCTCTAAAGGGAATGAGAATGGAGTAAATTCAATTGGACGGATTTTCAATTCTTTGCCCACAATCATATATGAATTTGATCATGACAAGACATAGAAATTTTACCACTTTGGGTGGTTATAATTTCTTTCAAACTCCATTAGAGTTGCAATCAAAATTTATCGTCTTTGCTTGTATTTAAAATCAAATTATAGAATGTCAAGAATTTGAAAGAGAAAAGTAAAATACTTACCTTAAATCCAGAATTTAATCATGAAGGAAGTTCATAGAACAATTGACAATCATTATGCTCAATCCCAAAGCTTCTACTCAATTGGTTAGAGTCTCGTGCTGATTACGTGTTATAAAATAATAAAAGAAGAATAAGAGTATTGCAGAGAAAAGTAGGGAGAGGGAATTCTTATTGATTTTTGGGATGATTTACAATGGAATAGGACCCTCTATTTATAGGGATAAGGTAACTTAACCACCAAGTAATAAACCCTAGAATCTCTCTAGAATATAGACATTCACCTTAAATAGAATTCTATTTATAACAAATAATACTTTTTTTTGTAAATAAATTCTGAGTCTCACCGAAAAATATTGCTCAAGAGAGTTCCTTTTCCCATTCAAAAACGAGGGGTATCCTTTCCCAACCTTCAAAGGTTAAGGGGGTAAAATGACATTGACTCAAGAGGGGTAAAATGACATTGACTCAAGAGACTTACTTACTTATAATCCTATTCAACTTCAAGTACTTTTTTCCCCTTAAAATTTTAACCAAATATTGTCCAAACGCCTACTTAGGGGTCAGTTTGTTCACATGCTAATTATGCGGGCAAGAAAATATATTGCACGATTGTTTTCTTGAAAGTATGATACGAGGAAACAAAAAAAGGATGTAAGGTAAAACATATTGGTAGGACTTATGTATTTTGGTTATATTTTGATAATAAGTGATGTAATCGTTTAGTTATTCTTAGAAGTAAATATAATCTCGAATATTGAAACATAGCACGTCTAAGGGTGTGTGTGGTATGATGGAAAACGTTTTCCACAGAATATAAGTATTTTTTCTTATTTATTCTTTGGTGTTTGGTAAGTGAGCGAAAAATATTTTTCCAAGGACATTTTATATTATTTATACAAATACTATAATCCTAGACTTGGACCTTAAACCTCAACACCTAACCCCTGACTCCCGACCTCGTACTCCGACTTTGACCTCATCGCCTAAGCTTGACACCTGACACACGACACCGGCCTCTATGTTTTAGTAGCAAAGTCCAGGTTGGGCGGGGATGGGTGGCGGGAGTTGATGACTCGGGGTAGAGGGAAGGGGTTGGACGAGGCAGGCGAAGGAGGGCCGAGGGTGGGTTGGTAGTGGCGGTGGTGGCGGTGGAAGAGTTTGCTAGGAAGGGAGATGTGGACCGGAGCATGGGGTTGAAGGGTGGGCAAGGGGTGTTGAGGTGGGGGTGGATGGGGTGAGGCCAGAGTGCAAGCTAGTAGGTCGGGGTCTAGGGGCCCAGGGTGGCGAGGGTGTGGATTAGGGTGTGACAGTAGAGGTGGGGAAGGTTGATAAAGAATTTTGGAAAATATTTTTCCTCATGTTGGTAGGGAAGCAATTTTCCTCCAATTAGAGGAATTTAAGCTTATTAAAAAAATATTTTTTATAACATTTAAGCCAACCAAACATGAGAAATTGATATCTTTTTAGAAATTATTTTTCTTCATATCAAACACACCCTAAGTTCTAAAACTTTGTATTAGATTCCATTGGTTGCTCCCTTAAAGAAATTTTAAGGGTATTTTAATTATTTTAAGGTGAAACCAAAGCACATGACCAAACTTAAAGTTCATCAAACATTGAACGGACTTGGACAATTCTTTTATATTTTTACAACTAATTTTGGGTGTACCGTAAGAAGAAAATGATGAAATAGAGTTATTTCATGTTAAACTGTATATTTTTGGAGAATTTCATTTATATCAAGGGAAAAGGTACTGATATATCCCTCTACGTTTAATAGTATCCCCCATCATCATGTCAATTAAAAATCCACATGGAAAGCCAACTGGAAACTAATGTCTTCTTCTTCCTAAAACCTCCATATATGTAATATCTAGGGTTTAGTTAAAAAATTAAAATTTTCTGCTCTCTTCTCTCCTCCTCTATCTTGCTTTTGGTTCCTGTAAAATGTCGCAAGGAAGTTCTTCGTCTCATATTATATGTCACTGTGATATGATAGCCAGCCGAATAAGTTCCACAACTATTTCTAATCCTAGATGAAAGTTCTATAAATTTCCTAAGCCTAAGGTTTGTTCTTGATGTGGTAAAGTTTAAATTTTATATGAAATAAACTTTTAGTCAAGTCTTAACTGTGATTTCATACTATTGACAGATTTATTCATGTGGGGTATTGGGAGTGGGAAGATGAAGTTTCCCCAAATTCACTTATATATGCAATTCGAGAATTGGGTGTTGTTAAGTGTAGACATTGAGAAATCGAAGCAAAAAGTAGCTGCCATGGAGGTTACAAACAATTCTCAAGTGGTTAAAGTTTCAACCTTGGAAGAAAAGGTATCAAAGATGTCGCTCCTTCTTCTGATTTCATCGGCATTTTTTCTGGGTTTCATTGCAGCTTCGATTGTCTTAGGAGTCGTTTTTTTTATGTTGTTAGTTGTTTTATTATGTTCGCTTTATTTAGTGTTTCAACTTTTTTGCGTCAATATTTCATGTTACTGCTAGTGTCCATTATTTCTGGAATTAAATTATTTTGTGTTAATGTTTAATGTTACTGCTAGTTTTAACTTTTAGTGCAATGAATGTTGGTTTGTAAATGTCATGTTACTGCTGGTTTCAACTTTTAATGTCATGTTACTGCTGATTTCTGGTCGCATATATGGACATAATTTCAGTAGTGTTACTGCTGGTTTTAACATATGCTAACACATGACATCCATTGTCAATAACAATTTTAACTAAAAAAGCCAAACACATAACTTTATCAGTAACATAATTCAACAACATTCATTAAGGACTGCCAAAAACTGTAAAGTGCAGTTACATGGACAAAAGAAATGTCACATTTTAACTCCAAAACCTGTCACCACCTAGGTAATAATATGACATTCACTGTAACAGTTAAAGATCCTAAATTAAGTTAAGAATACTGTCACATGCAGTAATTAGATTACATAAGACACCAAAACTATCACGACATTCACATGTTCAGATTTGTGAATTGCCATTTCTTTTTCATGCCATCAACTTGGTCATTCTTTGTCTCTCCAGTTGGTTTCCTGTTATAGAAGCTTTCTCTTTCCATGTGAGGTTCTTTGGTGAGTATGGAAGTTATGTTGGCTCACTCACACCATTGGCATCACCAACAAAGTTGATAGTCCTTATTCCAGTTGGTGCCAAACTTGCTCCCTCATTTGGAGTCTAGTTGTTGCTTCTGACACACTCCTTGGAATTAGAGGGGGTCTGGATTGTCAAATTCTAGATAATCAAAATCTGAAAATGTGGATGCACTGTTGATGGATTGCTTCCTTGGCACAGATGGCGTTGGCATAAACCTGTATTGGGGTCCTATATTGCTACTGGATTGACTTGCTTAACTCAATTGACTGGGTTGGGGTGTTGTTAAGTGCAGCTCTTCTTCAATAGTTAGCCTTGCAGAAGGTGTAGATCTGGTCATGCTTCCATCGCTGTCTTCATCAATCAATGATCTTGGCCTCTTCTTTGTCTTACCACCACCCTTTGGCTGTTTTTCTTTAACAGACTATCAAAGTAAAAAAAAGTAAAAGCAAGAAATGCAATAAAAAGAAATTAGGTTAAAGTATTATTGTAGTAGAATTATATTACCCCTTGAATTGTGCCTGTCCACATGTAGAACAAGTCATCACCCTTCCTTTTCTAGATTGAGACCAATCCCCTTGCCTATTAGTTGCCTCATTCTTTTATCTAGTTCTCTTTACCTTACGCCTACCAGCCATATTCACCATCACTGGTGGCTCCATTGCATGAGCTGGATCTATATTCCAGAACTTCTCTCCTCTCATTGGTTGTAACTTATGTGAATAAGTTAAGAGAAAAGCCTCCTTAGTGTACCACCAATGAATCTCACTCAAAGGATCTAACTTCTTATATAGCAGTTCCCTGATAGCATGAGGACATGGGATTCGAGTGGAGTCCCATGTCCTGCAAGTAAACTTTTTCAACTCCAGGATCACTCTGTGCTTTTCAGGTCCTTTATCCACCTCATAACTAAATTATCCATTGAAGTTAACACTACATTTTTGTGCAATCTTCAAGAACTGGTTATACAACTTCATAGTTTGAGGACTAAACTCTATTTCCATGTCATCACATTACTTTCATGTTCTCTCAACATATTCATCACCTTAACCCGTATGTCTTCAAGCATCTTTATAATAGGCTTGTGCCTAGCATCTAATATCCAAGAATTAAAGGACTCTATTAAGTTATTATCAACTTGTTGGTTCTTGTATACTGTGTCAAAGTATGCTCCACACCATGACTTGGGAGGATACCTCAACAAGTCTTCAACAGCTTCTTTATTCAACTCCCCCAAGTTCTTCAATTGGTCCTTAAAATCTTCTTTATAACTGCTCTATGAACACCACCAAAGGTACTTCTTCAACTCCCCAGCACCCCATCTTTTGCCCCAATTAGCCTCTACGTGCCTCACACATTATCTCACACAGTATCTGTGGTGTGCATCAGGAAGGACATCTTGCATTGCCTCAACCAAGCCGTACATATTAGTTGATAAAAAATAACATTTAAGATAAATTTAAAACTGAAAGTAATAATTAACAACAAAAATTTAATATTTTGGAAAAAAAAAATATAGTACCTTCTGCATGTCTGATATAAATGTGAATCCTTCTTCCAACTTGAGGTCTAATGAATGCTTCAGCAAGGTCAAGAACCAATTCCAGGTAATCAGTTCCAAATAACTTTTTTTTTCCACAATAGCCCAAGCTATAGGATAAAAATACTTCAGTGAGTCAAGAGTAACAACAACTAAGAGTTGGCCTTTTACTTTTCCTTTCAAGAATGTTCCATCCAAGCCAACAAAGGGTCTTAGCCCACTCTTAAACCCCACCTTTAGAGCATGAAAATAGATATACATCCAAGAAAATCTCCTATTACCTTCAGCAAGTGCATCCTTGGATGTGTTAATTATGACATCACTTCCTGGATTACTTATTCTCAATTCATTAGCATATGCCTCTATTTTGTTAATACTCATCAACAAAACTACCATCAAGACGTTTCAGGATCATTCTCTTGGCTCTCTTACATTTTGAATGACTGACATTGATGTTGAAAGTAGTTTTTAGAGCTACTTTTTTCTCCTTAACCTTCATTTGGGAAAGTCTTGCATTTTGGTCTTCAAAAATTGTGGTATGGTATTATAATCAACCCTTGGGTTATCAAATGCAGGGTTACACTTATGCTTTGCCTTCAGTTCTAATACTAACTCCAGCATCATTTTTATCCTTAGAAATGTGACAAACAAAGGGGAAGCCTACCTCACATCTATACCTTAGCCTCTTAGTATTTTAAGTTGTGTTGAACCATAGCAATTGGCTAAGCAATAAAGATTTATCACTTTTCTACCCTCGGGTATATCCTTGAATGACATTCCCTTATATAGTTCCTTGTAGTCAGTCAACCTATTACCACTTTCTCTTATTTTGTAGCGCAAGTGTCTCTAAATCTTCAGAATCATAATCTGACTGGCAACTATCATCTTCACCTTCATTTGAACTACAATCAGTAGCACCCTGATTATCTACTGTGGATGATTCAGTGTGGTCAACAATATTAGGAACATTAACTCCCATTTCACTATCCTCAACAGCAAATAGATTAATGATGTTGAATTGATCAGAAACAAAAGACTGTAAAGTCCTAATACCCACATCCTCATCTACTTCATAATATTTACCAGAAAGAAAATATACTATTAGTTGTTGAACACCAACATATCTAACTTGGAAGTATACTCATCTACTATATCTATGAAAGACAGAAGGTCAGAATCATATTGTTTCCAGCTGTGTACTAATTTTCTTGAATATACCACTTCTGGCACCCTAATCCAATCACCTCCATAATGGAATAAAAGGTCTACATCAACCATATCTGTAACCTGCAGAATAGATAATAAAAAGGGATAAGAAACAAAAAATTAATAAAGTACAGAAACATAACTAAATAGAATAATGGTTGACAATAAGGGGTCGGGACCACGTAATGAAATAACAAATTAAATAGAAAAGGAAATCACACAACACTCTTTCCAGCTAGAAACCAGTAGAAATGATAAGGGCAGGCACATGATTCAAATAAAGTAAAATAGGAATGAATTAAAAGATTTGTGAAGTCCCACACATTGAAGGAGATAGTTGTCTTGAGCCTCAATAAACAAAGTATATGGGGGATCATATTATAAAATTAAGAAATCAGTAATGTCTCACCTTCTTAAAGACACATGCATGCCAAATTGGGGACCATATACCCTCATTTCTGCTACAAACAACAATAATAACTACTTAATACCTCTTTCCCCAAGAGATATACAACAAACAACCATTGAAAATCATAAACTAAGGAACTTCAGCTTTAGAACTCGTGAAACTCTAACCCACAAACCAGAAAAAACAATACCACAAATAAACCCTAACCCACAAATCATAAATCAGAATACCTAAATAAACCCTAACCCACAAACCAGAAACAACAAAAACTCAAAAACATATGAGAAATGGAATGAAAACAAACATGCAAACAAAAAGAATAACAAACAATTACACTGAGATAAATAAGTGGTAGCACCAGAATCAACACAAATATTTACATTTTAAAAGCCATCTGGAACCGATAATCGTCAAGGTACAAACAGAAACCCTGACAGTAGTAACACAAACCCTCGAACAAAAATCAAGATAAATACAAGAAATGAAGAAAAAATAGAAGAAGAAAATGAAATCAAAGTTTAATAGCAGTAGAAAAGTTGTACCTTTGAAGAAGTTTACAGCCAAGTCGGTAGTGGAACTTCACGTCCAAAATCGCCTATCCATTTAGCTCTCAGAATAATCGAGAATCATGACCCTCTTTCTATGATAACCGGGTTGAGGGTTTGTATATTAATGAAGAAAATGGGTCTAGGTAACGGGTCACTGATTGGGTTAATAATTTCCACCGCGTCATTTTTAACTAAAGCCTAATTGACACTATGGACAGCCGTCCAAAAAAGGGATAATTTAATCAATCAGGTTTAGTGACGGTAAGCCTTTAATTGGGCTGAGAGTAAAACTACTAACTAAAGTAGAGGGACATATCAGCGCACCGATAGGCTACAAAATGTTAATAACATCTTAAGAAGATTTTTCTGATATGTTTACCCCGCACCCGAGGACTTACATGCATACATTAAATTAATATAATCTTTTTCTTAAGAGGAATTTTTCTTTCTTTTTTTAACGGCATCTTTATCACTACTAAAATGGAAAGAAAAATTAATTAGCCTTTTAATAGCTACAAGAACAATTCACGATATCTTTGGAAACTTTCATTACATCAATTTTTTACGGGGGTACGAAATGTTAAGAAGATCTTTTACACATGGGTTCAAAAATTACCCTTTTGGGCTTACCCAGGATTAGTCGCGGTAGTGAATTTTGGATACTAAATGGTTAAACAAAAAATCTGCATAATTAAAAAGTAAGTATTTATATTTGAGCCCTTATACAAAAAAAGACTTTGTAGATATATCTTATGCTCTTACCAATGTCATATTCAATATCTTTTCTATATTACGAATCTTGAAAATTTATCTAGCAACGCAGATAAAGGAAAATCCGAAATCTTATTTCCATTTAAAGAACGATAATGCTTACTTGATCTTATAAATGTGATCCAATATTCTTGCATTGCCGTTCCAAAACAAACAACACTATTTTCATCATTTCAGAGTTATCATCAATACGATATAATGTCCTTCTCTGCATTCGAACAGCAACTCATGATTCAAAGTTATCCATTCATGGTACACACACACAAAAAAAAAAAAAGGAAGAAGCTTAATTATTTTGTGTTCATGTTTTCTTCTTCTCATTTTACGTTCATTTTCTTTTATCTTGTTTACTTCTTTTTTACTATGTTAAACCATTAACTGGCGGATGCATGTATGATGAAGCAGTGTCACGCGACACCGCTTCGTCAGAAAATTTTACTATATATATATATATATATATTATACTATAAGAAAACGGATAAGTAAGAAAAAAAAATGACATTATTTGATATAAATTGTCTCTTGGTGCCTTGGTTATGTGTTTGATTTTGCTCTAGGAAGTCATAGGTTTGAACCTCAACTAGCACATTTCTTTTTGCAAATATTTGAGACAGTCTCTGTGGTTAAAAAATGATTAAATATTAAATAGAATTGAAATCAGGACCTTTTCAAATTTAAGGCTTAACAAATTCAATATACTAAGGTTATTTTTAGTCCAAAAGTATGATAATTAAAGTTATTATTTGTTCTTCTATAAATTTCGACATCGCTTACAAAAATATGTGTTTACGCCCTTGCATTAACAGACTTGCGTTTTGTGGGTTAACAATCGCACTTCAGGATGGCAAAAAACCGTGGCGAAAGTCTTCAAAAATGTCTATGGTATTTTTGCACTTTCTTTTTCTATGTAATAGCATACTTTTGTATTATTCATAGCAACATTTCTGTTACATTTTTTTTGAAATGTTGTTAGGTATCAGAAATTGTAGAATGAATGGAGATGGGATGATTGAAGTGTCAGGAAATATGGATCCAAAAGTACTACTAAAAAGGCTAGGAAAAGCAGAGTTATGTTGGTTTCAATTTGGAGAATGTTCAAGTAATCTTTTTATTACCCAATCTGATTACTATAGACAAGGATACTATTATGGAGGACAATTAGATTTAGATGGTAGGTTTCTTCATTATAGAGATCAGTTTAATCCTCAATTAAGACGACGTTCAAATAAAAATTACCATGACAATTATTATTATTATGATACTGAATATGAATGCACTGTGGCGGCACAAGCACGGGAACGACGTCGTCGGACTTTGATGGCGTCAATAGCCGATAACGGCGTCTCCTCTTGCTGTTTGATGTAATATAGGAGTAGTATATTTTATGTCTCCTCAGTAAAAAATTATTTATTACTGAGCGTACAGTCATGAATGAACGCATGTATATATTATATGGTTTTTATTTGATGATATTGGGTATCTTAGGATTTCATTTCTTAATTATATTTTATTTTTAGTATTAACGCTGACAGATATCTCTAATACCGGTCTTAAGTTATGAAAAATCCTCACTCTGCCTGTGTAAATTTAAACCCTCAAATTTAATCCAAGTAATTCATATTATTATTTTGCTGCATGTAATATCCTAGGGGTTGTTTGGTTTGAGTTATAAAAAATTATCATGGTATAAAATTACGTGTTACTTATCCTGCATTTGATTGTCATTTTCATTTTCAGCATAAATAATAAATTTTAAGTTATATATATTAACACTTTAAAAAACTTCAGACGATCAATGTAGTTTAGCTAACCTATTATAGCATGTTAGTTATTATTTTTATGAGGTTACTCATTAATGCAGATCATAAAGATTTATATTTACCTTACAAAAATATGATTGTGTAAATTAGTGCATAGAACTTAAACTCATAAATATTAACCGTATATGAAATGGGAATTTACACATGAATCACTGCACTTGGATAAAGCACTTAAAAGACCAAAATAAGCGTAAAAATTGCACGGGACACCCTATTTGGTTACCCCCATTTAACCTATACCTATATTTTTAAAATTATTTATATGTATAACGAACATATACATAAAGGAAAAAAAGAAATCTTGCTTTTCTTTCTGTACGATGAGGGCAAAACAGATATGTGAAGGAAGAGATCTTCATCGTCTACTATATACGAATGATATAGCATTGGACCTCCTGATTTTGATATTGTGATTGCAATTTTCAGCACAATGTGCCTAAAGCCAATGGATCCCAGCCCATGACTCGAATATTGCTGGCCTGAGTTTACATATAGTGTTACTTGATGAACATAAGTGGTGCAATTTATGAAATTTTCCAAGCTACTGCTAGAAACTTAATAAGATCACATCAAGTTTAGGGAAAGCTTTTTTGAGGCAGTAGACCTATAACGAGTTTGTGACTTTAAAATATAGTCCATAAATCAGCTGAAGTTTAGCAAATATATATATAGAACAAAACTTCAGTTAAAACATGCTAAGTTCAGCAAATAGAGAACAAAACTTCAACTAGTAGAATGCTTAAGTTCAGCAATTACAAATAAAAATTTCAGCCAACACTAAGTTTACGCGAAATACTTCAGCTAAAACATGCTGAAGTTCAGCAAATAGAGAACAAAACTTCAGCTAGTACGATTGTAGGACAAAAACCTCAGCTTATTTTAATGCTGAAGTTTTTACAGATGAACTAAATAACTTCAGCATCTTCTGCTGAAACTTTTGAAAAAGCTTTGTGACAAAACTAATGAATCCAGGACAAAACTTCAGCTTATTTAGTGCTAAATTTTTTACAAATGAACTAAATAACTTCAACATCTTATGCTGAAGTTTTTGAAAGAGTTTTACAGCAAAACTATTGAATCCAGGACAAAACTTCAGCTAAAACATGCTGAAGTTCAGCAAATAGAGAACAAAACTTCAGCTAGCAGAATGCTTAAGTTCAGCAATTACAAACAACTTCAGGCCCATCTACTAGAATGCTGAAGTTTGCATGATTGTCTTTGCTACTTCAGGCCGGTATGCCTGAAGTTTACGCGAAAAGTGGGTACGCTTGCAATTTTTTTGCAAAGCGTGACCCAAAAAGTGAGTATAGATGCAAATCCTAGATGTACATATGGTAGCTCTTCTCCTCAAGCCCTTCAAAACACTCCGCACTTTGGTTTAACATTAATCTCAAAACTAGCAAGTCACAACTAAGAAATTTTTGTTCAAACCACACATTTTCATTGCTTCTGCTTCAAGATGTAGACTCTTGATATTCAAATTCAGCAAATACCATGTTACAACATGACCGAGAAATGACAACTCCTTCAGAGAGTAATAAGAAATAAAAATTGCTGATAAAACATAATCTTGAAATTTTCTCCATAGCTGATGGATGAAAACTGTCAAGGTAAACTTCTACATTCTGATGATTCAGAATCTTTTCTACCAGTCTCGACAGGAGAAAGACCATAAAATTCTGTCAAGTAAGCCAAAGCTTCTGAGTTGTTGTTACAAACTTTCCACAATGATGAAACCTCGTTCTTGGAGACAGTGCCCCACTTCTCACAATCATTGAGGAACTCCAGCAAATTAGAATAAAATGAGTCATAGTTCATTAGAAGAAAAGGAACTGGAAGTTGGGATCCAATTCGTTCGAGTTGAATCAAAGCCATAATCTCAAAAATCTCGTCAAGGGTACCAATTCCACCAGGAAGGGCGACAACAGCTGTCCGCTCGGAGCTTTTACATCTCACAACAGCATCCACCAACCCATGTTTCCTTGCAGAGAAAAACCTGCGTATAATACGATTTGATGACTACAAGAGTTAATTGAACATGAGAAAAATAATGCATTTATGCTATCATAGGGAAGCGCCTATTGAGAACTGCCCAACTGTGAGTCCTTTGGCTTTACAATGTGTCCTTACCTGCATGTAAGATAACTCTCTGATGGCAAGTACGGATGAAAATTTGAAGCCGTCCATTCCCCAGCTTCTCTACCTATCTTGAACCCACCAACAGGCTTCCCTGCTTGTAGGGCACCTTGCGTTGCAGCATCCATTAAGCCTGGCCCAGCACCTGACCATGTCGTACAATCTAAGAGGGTTGCAATCTGTCGAACAAGTAGTATTTATAAACGCTCGGCTGATGAAGGAATCTTCATGAACTATAAAATAGTAAAGCTTATGCATTCTTCTCAAATGAGTAGTATTATCTTTAGATACTAGATCACCATTTTCCGTTATTTCTCCTTCGTGTCAATCCTCTACCCCTAAGACTTGGATAAAGTTCACTAACCTTGCTGCCCAATTCAAAGGTTTTTATGTAGTGTGGATGTTCAGGGCCCATCCTCGAAGATCCCAAATAGACAGCACCCCGACCAAGCCTGTGTATTAATTCATAGCATTGGTCAATCTCTTTCTTGACCTGCATTTTCAATAGATTATTACTTTAGGAAACCTTCAGCACTAGATGTATTGTGTAATCAAGATGCAATATAAGTGACGTGCCAATATTTAAGTAATACATCTGAAACAGATGTGGTTCCTTCTCTCTTTCTCCTCATTCACAAGTCATTATCAAGAAAATTCCATCAGATACAGAAAAACACTGCAATAAAAACTCACATCTATGACTATTCACAAACAGTAAAGGTCATAACTCATAACAAACAACTAAACACATGTTGGCAACTGAGGTCATAACTCCAATGAGTCAGAGTCCATGCTAAGCTATTCAGCTGTCAAGCCTACTTTTGGAGCAAGTCACTTTTTTATACATTAGCAAGTGGTAAAGAAGGAAAGGTAGTATGAGTATAAGATTCTTATGAGCCGAAAATCAAGTGGGCTGTTATATACCACAGCTACTTGTAACAAGCCATAAACAGAGTAAATCAATTCACTGAGTCAACAACCTAATAGCATAAGTGTATTGCCTTGTAACCAGTGTGCTCCATCTCTTTCTTTATTCAGGCATTCAATCAGTTTTGAGTAAATAAAAGAAGGTATATTCGATCAGTAACAGGGAACTCCGTAACAGAATACTCAACAATTTCCAAATGGGAACTGCATTTTCCAACAAATACCAAATCACTCCCTACATGATAACCCAAGAGAGAGAGAGAGAGAGAGATGGATGAAGATACATGTGGGTTATTAGTTATCTTCTTTGTGGTTTAGCTGCATGTCCTTAGCACTTATGCAAGAAGAGCTAAAAAAAGACATTCTTATGAAGATTGCCTAGAAAGAGTAAAAGATAATATATTAACATTGCCAAAAAAGGGGCATAAAACACGGTAATCTTGACCCGTTGCAACACACATTTATTATTTTTATCTTTTTTTTTCTGAAGGATAGGGTTAGTAAGGGAAATAAATAACTTATATCGTGATTGTCATGATACAACATTTGTTAGTTATTTAGTCCAAAGCGAGCTGCATCTATAATACTTCACATAGTAACTGCAGAAAACAGAATATAGAGAACTTCTCCAATCTAAGAACAATTCTATACAGGGAAACGCTGTGGTGTCTCACATCAAAATCTTCCAGTTTCCCTTTCTTTCTGTCTGGAAAGGGAAGCATGTTCTTGACAAGCTTGATTCAAATTTTCAGGCATTCTTCGAAAATTGAGAAAAACAGGGGACCAATCTATAACTTCTTAACGTTTTCCATCTAAAAACAAATCACGGCCTAATTGTACACTCATGAGGCCTATGGTGATATGGTCATTTTAGCTGATTGATCTTCCAATATGCTAGCTTGAACAACTTTCATTCGTTACACTTCCTCCTAGTTGATTATCCTATAGTGTCTAGTTCACCGTTGTCAAACTATATGCTTTTGATTTCAAGCAATCTGTAGTTGATAGTCAATATAAATACTAGTGATGATATCATTAAGTGTTCTAACCTTAGCATGGAAGTTCCTTTTTATCAGTAAACAAGAGATATTATTAATATAATAAAACCAGACACCAAGAAGATGATTGGTATGTACAAGAGTGAGCAGTCCCCAATGCAAAAAGAAAAAGAAAAGAAGGCGATCACCTCTATACAAACGATCCTACTCCTGAAGCAAGCTAATGAAATAAATCATCTTATATATTTCTTATACCTCCCGATAATTGCACCAAAAGGCTGGCGTAAACAAGCATCTAAATTTTATCTCCTGTACAGTGATTGCTTTGCCCTCAAAGCACCTAGGTGACTTCCATTCTCTTCTTCTTTACTGCATAGGTAGAATCTGTTACACATTGCAAAACCTCTTCTTTGTAGGTTGGACTGTGTTAGACACGCATCATGAGTCGCTTCCCACAAAAAGCATGCTACTTTGTAAGGTGCTTTATAGATTTACATATATTTTTCAACCAAGTCTAGGAAGATTTGATAGAGAAAAGTCCTTGACTTTAGCATGGAAATCTAACCTTAACATGGAAGTTATGCAT